ATAGATAGATAAAAGATAAAAAGATTTTGTACTTTTTATGGTAGAAGTAATCAATTTGTTCCGCTCAGACGACAAAGAAAACTGAAAAAAATCTAAATAATAGTGAAAGCTGCAGAAAAGTGTCTTTAAGTGAAAGATTTAAACTGGGAAATGGTTAAAAGTATGATGGGAAAATGAGTGGGACAATGAGAAACACGCAGAGTGACTTAAGCAAAAAGATTATGTATTTTATTATGTTGGGTTAAAACATACAACTTGGAAAACTATTATTTTTTTCTGCGGTTAGTCTTGTTTCCTGTTTCCTCGATTAACTACTTATCAGTTAGTGGCAGTAATGCACTTTAACTAGTTTACCAACCGCCATAAAACCTTACAAGTAGAAGAAGAGGTCGTTAGCTGCATAACGACACCTGTCCACCCCATACAATCAGTAAGAATCCAACCACTAACATGGCCAAGACCAAAGAGCTGTCCAGAGACTCTACAGACAAAATTGAACACCTCCATAAGGCTGGAAAGGGCGACGGGGAAAAATGTCCACTGTTGGAGCAATTATTAAAAAATGGAAGAAGCTTAACATTACTTTCAATCCCCATCAGACTGGGGCTCCATGCAAGGTCTCACCTCATGGGGTCTCAATGATCCTTAGAAAGGTGAGAAATCAGCCCAGAACTACATGTGATGAGCAGCTCAATGACTTGAAAAGAGCTGGGACCACAGTTTCCAAGGTTAATGTAGGTAATACAGTAAAACAGTGGTTTGAAATCCTGCATGGCACGGAAGCTTCCCCTACTTAAACCAGCACATGTCAACTTATTAAGTTTGCCAACGACCATTCGAATGATCCAGAGGAGTCTCGGTTTAAAAGGTGACTCATATAAAGATGGAGATCAAGTAGAAAAACAGGAGAAACTGTGTGTAAAACAGAAAAAAATTGTGATTCAGCTTCAATAGATACAGCTAGAATCTAGTTGGGGGAGGGGTCACACCAGAGGTGACAGAAAATAAGAACAAAGTTAATAATGAAAAGAAAAACTATATATCTTATTATACTGATTCAATAGATTGATCGAAAGAATAGATTTTAACACTTTTTTTTCATATATTTTAGTGTTTTGTAAATACGGTCTCATTGGATTTTTTCTCAAATGGAACACTCTGCTAAAGTGCAGCAGCATTATAAATCACTCATCCTGCTCAGAACCTGTAGTCAAATGGTGAACAGCATGAAAGCTCTGCAGTGAAGGAGGAAAGAATAGTCTGCTGAGAGTCCGTCGGCTCCCATTGGTTGGCCATCTCTGTACACGCCAGTGCTCCCAGTGCTGTTGCTAATGGCAACCAAGCTTCTGCAAACTGGGAACCAGCTCATCTGTGACTCTTCTGTAATGGGATGCCTTAGCCCTGCTCATCCTCCATGTTGTTATTTGTGCCCTTTTCCTTCCAGCTGTACGCCAAGCTCCAGTGCATCAAGGCAGAGATCAAGGACGTGAATGATGAACACGTTAGGAGCCGACAGGAGCTGGAGCAAACGCAGAACGAGCTCACCAGAGAGCTCAAGTTCAAGTGAGTCCAGCAAGCACCACAAAATGGAGTTAAATTATTTAATAAATCTGGGATTTTATAAGATTTTATAAACAAAATAGGCTTCTTTCAAGTACAACAATTAAGATGTATGCGTAGTTACTACGACTTAAAGCTTATAAAGCAAGATATAATTCTATGAAAGCATTATATTTTGTTTTTATAGCTAAAGAAATTTGCAATCAATGGAATTTCTAAGTAAAGCTCAAATATCATTTTTAAAGCGAGAGTCTCACACTTATTATGGTGAGTTTACCACAAATAAGGATTCAGATTGGTACATTTAAACATAAAGTTAGAAGATACATTTTTTAGACTTTCAAAAAAAAAAAAAAAAAGCACTGTTCAAAATAAGAGCTCAATATAATTTGTTTAAATGCCTAATGTTCCTGAACAATGTAAAATGAAACAATTTGGAGTTTTAAAATTAAGGCTTACAGGAACTTTTCAAAATAAAAAGGGTTACTCCTAATAACCCTTACATATAATGTATTAGGGTTTTTATGAAAAACCCTAATACATTATATGTAAGGGTTTTTTTTTAAACTCTGAATGTATTCTGGAAGTGATTTTTTTTTGTGTTTCTTTCAAATTAAAGCTCATAAATATTTCTTAAATTAAAACACTGGAATTTTCATTTTCCAACTATTAGAACAACAGGACAACGAATATCTTGATTAGTTTTAAATTTATTTCATTTTTATGAATCTAGATCTCAGAGGGAGAATAAGAACATCTTAATGCTGTTATACTGTTTATACATACATTTTATAGTCTATTTATACATACCCTCTGTACACTTGTAATGCATATTTATATCCTGTATAGCACTTCTGGATAGATGCTAACTGCATTTCGTTGCTTGTACTTGTGACAGTGCAATGACAATAAAGTTGAATTCTATTCTATTCTATTCAAACAAAAACTGCAAATAAAAAACATAAGGATGAAAGCATCCTTATGTTTTTTATTTGCAGTTTTTGTGTTTTTGGCCATAAATGTTCAATTATCTTTTGGATTTCCAAAAAAGTAAAAAAAAAAAAAAAAAAAACTATCCACTGGACTTTGTTTTTCAATTTTAAAGACATTTCGCTTCCTGGACTGGAGCAAAATGTCTTCAAACTTGGAAACAAAATCCAGAGGATTGTTTTTTAACTTTTTTTTTTTGGAATGACTATGACCTGGATGACTGAGAATCTTCATCAGCATCTTTATGATTTTTACAATTTATACTGCTGTCACTTTAACATCTGTAATAATCGCTTTGCCGAAACAAAAAAAAAAAATCTAACATTTCTGGCAAATGTGAGATGAAATTTCCAGCTTCAGGATAATGATGTCAGATTTTAAGAGACTCTGTGATGTATAATTAGACTCCTGCTCTGATATGTGTCATGAACACGCAGGTATCTGATCATAGAAAACTTCATCCCTCCAGAAGAAAAGAATAAGATCATGAACAGGCTGATGTTTGACCCTGAGGAGGATCAATGGAAGTTCAAGCCTCTTGTTCCAGATGACAGGTTGGTTCTTCTTACCCTTAACACTTCTAAATCTGGAATTGATCATTTCAATCAACAATTCAGGATTAAATATTCTGTTTTTTTATTTCCAATTGTTGCTTTTTTGTATCACTAATTGTCATAATGCATTTTCACAGTAAATCTTCACAGATGAAGAAAAGACCGGCATCAGCAGTTGGATACAAACGACCCATCAGTCATTACGCGCGAGTAGCCCTGTCGATGGGAGCTCATTCCAGATACAGGGTACAGGAGGGGGTTTTTGGCCTGTTTTACTTATGCTTTGAAGACAAAAAGCTGTTTAAACAGTCATCCTGTAAGGGAGGGGGTTCCTTTTGGGGAATAAATGTAAAGATAAATGATAACAATAAAATAAAAATAGACATACCCACATGTATAATCATATTTGGCCCATAGGACAGTCTGCTAAAAGCTAAAGAAGTGAAATCAGGGATACCACCTTGTTAAGTTTTTTTCATACAGTCATCAGCATTAAAGTTGTATGAATTTCAGGCCGTCAAATTATTTTTAATTATCATTTTATTATGTTGGTATAGATAAACACCCAAAACTATTTCTTAAAGTTATTCATAGACACTCATAGTTTGTCAAAAGATGTGGCATAATTTGTTTTTTTGTTTGTTTTTTTTTTTACCATTAACACTTCATTGGCATTATTTTGGCTAAATATCAGAATTTTTTCTTGGTAGTAAGAATGTTTATCATTTCCTGTTTTATTACCTCCAAAACCATTTTTGATGCATGTTTGGGATCATTGCCGTAATAAACATAGAGATGTGTCCATGTATTAATCTGGGGAGCCACCAAAAATAAGATCTATCCATGTTTTTGTACTGACCTAAAATGTCCCTGTTCCAAAAGTTCTCAGCTGCACACATGAAGACAGATAAAAGCAGGGACTTAAATCTCCCTAACTTCTGAATTAGTGGAATTAGTGGACAAGCGCTATCTTCAGCTAAGTCAGGTTCAGCGTCTTTAATGTGAAGGAAACTGACTTTTCAAGCATGATGATGGCGGAATCATGGTAAGGGTTATTTTCCTTTGATTGCATTGCAAAAGCTGTCTAAAAGCATTAAAACAGGTTACCTCAAAGGCCCATAGTTCTGATTTCAAGTATTGAAACAGTGAATGAATAAATAAAACTTTGCATTAAAAATAATGTAATAAGAAAATCAGCAAATATAAGATTAGTTCTTCTACCACTAGGTTCATTCTGTTAGGCGAACATCTATGCAGATTTTTTCTGCTTAAACCAAACCTGAAGTTTCTATGTATGTAATGCAGCGTTTTTCGTGAATGAAGTGAAATCCTAATGCAGCATCACTTACGTTGATCTCCCTCTGGCCATTTTTGTGTAGGCTGAGAATATCATGTTTCTAGAGCTGGATGTGACCCCTCCGAACCCCTCAGCTCTGACGGACGGGGAGCAGAACCAAAGTCCCTCTCTGAACAGCTCGCCCACTAAGGACAAAGGAGTCTCCAAGTCCCAGTCCTGGTGAGCCTTAATATTACCTTTTATCACAGATCAACAATACTTTTTTTTTTTTTCTTTTAAAAGTGACTAAATCTTCACAGTTAAAATCCATTTTAAAACACATCAGGTTTCCATGAAATAAGAATAAAATGAAAATTAATCAACACAATAGAAAAAAAGGAACCATATATTTGTCATGATTTTACTAAGGTTCAGACCCAAATGCAGAAGACCGAAAAGAGAGACCAGGGAAAAGGTTTAACAAGTTTTATTGAAGAGATAATTCAGAGAGAAGTGTTGCTCTGAACACTGCTCAACTGAAAAGTGAGGGGAAGACACAGCGGTTAGTTCAGGTTCAGTGGGAAATTGGACTTGTGAACTTGGAGAAGAGGTTTGGTTGCTGTTTTCAGAGAAGTTGTTGAATCCTTGACTCCAGTCTGTATGCTGCAGTTCCCGTGTTTTTCTGATTCGGTGGAGGGTGGAACAGGGTTACCCAGTATGCGGTTGTTTGTAGATCAACAGAGAAACTGAATGCCAGTAAGATTTCCTGCGGTACTTGAACGGGTCGTAGTGGAGATGAATCCCTTTCTCAGTGCGAAGCTCAAACGATCTCTTGGAGAAAGGGGATCCAAACCTCCTGTTTGAACCCCAGCTCAGTTTGTAGCTCAGTTGATCCTTCCAGGGAGAGAAGGTCCGAAAAATCCAGTTTGCAGGATGACTTCCTGCCGAGAGGCAAAGACAAAACAATGTTAAAACTCAGGTTGACTAGAACTCAGTTTGACTCAGCAAAACTCAGCTTGGCTAGAGTACCCCAAACTGGCAAACACTCTGGCGTCGAGGTAGTGGCAGTCAGCAGCTTAAGAGCGCTCCGTTAACAAGGAAACCATCAGAAGGTGTGTGAGGAGGCGGACAAGAGCCAGGCGCCTCCTGGTGGCGGAAGGGAGACAAACACAGAAACACAAACACACAGACAGGAGTCCTGACAATATTAAAGGGATACAAATAAGCCTAAAAAACATCTAATGTAAAAATCGAAACTCAGAAGCTTTCAAAGTGTTAAAAGATGCCTTTGAGAAGTGATTTCACAGCAGACAGAAATATGTATGAAGCTAAGAGGGATGGAAGGAGTAAATCCATGTAGTGCTTTAAAAACAAATAAGGGATCTTAAAATGAATCCTTAAAGGAGTTTGCAGCCAGTGAAGTGAAGCTAAACTGGTTGAAATGTGCTCAAACCTCAGAGTACTGGTTAATGGACAAGCTGCAGCATTTTGCACCCTCTGGAGATCAGTGATGGACTAATCACTCACCCCTACAGAAAGGGCTTCACAGTAATCCAGCAGAGTAGTAACAAAGGCGTGGATAGCTGTCTCAAAGTGCTGCATAGAAAGAACTGACTTTATTTCAGCCAGCTGTCTCTGATTGAAAAAGCCAGATTTAACAACTCCCTTCATCTGACTTTCAAATGTGAGACCGGCGTCCATTTTGAACCTCAGGTTGGTGACAACTGGGTTTATACTGGGCCAACAGAAGCTAGAAGACATTGAAGTTAAGGCTGCACACCATGTGTGCCTGTTTTCTTTGGAGGAATGTAGATCTGACAGTCGTCTGTATAAAAGTGAAATACATCAAATCTGAACTCCTAGTTACAGCTGTGAAACTGCTTCCTGTTTAGTGCTGGCCAAATACCGTAAATCCTCTAATATTGGCCCGTATTCCATTAGCGGCCGGGTCTCTAATAATGGCCTGTCTCGCTGTCGGTGGAGGTAAATAGAGGCCGGACTCTTATACAGGCCGGGGCTATAATTAGAACCGATGATGTTCCTGGGCAGTCCTCAACAACTTGTGATAGCAACATACAAGTACCACAGGGGGCAATGTTTGCTAAGGAATCCAAGCCTTTAGCATGGGAAGTCCTATCCTCACACAGAGATCGCAGTGGCCTTACACAATCGTTCTGATCTGTATGACAAATGTGATTACCGGTAGGTCTGCTGGTAACCAGGCAGCGTTAAAATGACAGAAGTTCATTGGCATTCGAGGTTCTGACTTTCCCTTGAAATATATGATAGCCTACTGGTAGCCTACTTCCACTCAGCCTGCTTCAAATTAAATTTCGCTGTGATGGCAGAACAGTTTCTATTAATTTTTTTAAAACTTTGTTTCGCAAGTCATTTTGGCCAAGATTCCATTCTGTTTCTTTTATTTTTTCGTATTTCCGTGCAGAAAAATTGCAGCTGCTGGAAGATGTCTGAATAATGTTCTATATACCGTTATGATAACTGTACTTTTTCAATAAATGAACCTAGTATTTTGTAGGTTCAAAGAGACACAAAATCATGTTTTTATTCATTCCACTGGTAGTCTGTTTTATATAGAAATGGAAATAGAGGCCTACCTCTAATTCTAATTCTGGCCTCCTCCCAATAATGGCCTGGACCAAGATGCAGCTGAGTGAAATAAAGGCCCTGTCCTATATTAGAGGATTTACGGTATGATGGATATAAATGGGTAAGATTTATCTAAAAAATTAACTAACAATGATCCAATGTTTGATACTGTATCCTTTCGCACATAAACCACATGAGGCTTTTTTTAATGTGAGCTTATCATGTTTGATGCATTTTTTAGTGCTTAAAAACATTTATTTCTGTTTTTGTGTTTTTGTTTTTTTAAACAGAACGAAAAAAATACTAAAATATGTCTGTTTAACAAGAATTTAAAAAATCATGACTGTATTATATCTGCTTTCCCTGGCAAAGAGATTCCAAATATCAGTGTTTCCATTAAAAGAAAAAACAATGTATTCATACAACCTAAAATAGAAAGCAGAAAACTGTTAGTATCCAACAAGGCTAAAGAGCAACAAAGGTGGCTTTATGCAGGCCTCAATTTCTGGTTTAATTGCTCAAAATATCTCCTACATTTGCTTTAATTTAAATACTTACCAGTTGATCAAGCTGAATCTTTAGATTTTTAGGATTAAGGAGAAATAACTGAAGCAGGTTTGCAGAGGGTTAGTATTTAAATGCAACCTTTAGAGAAGACTTTTTATCACCAAGATCTCTCGAAATCTTTGAGGCGTTTACCTTTATAAAAAAAAATAAAATCGCAAAAAATTTTATCCCATAAAATGGGCATGATCGTTGTAGCATGTATTGGTTACCTTTAAACTTTAATACATTAAGTATCGGGATACATTTTCACAGATTAGGCTGAACTGTATTAGTTTTTCTAAATGGGAAAAATGTGTCTTGGGGTTTTAAATCCACCTTTTGCTACAAAGATTTGTATTTACTTTATTACTTCAAAATGATGGTTTGAATTTGAAACCTGCATCAGTATGATAACTGAGCCCTAAGCGGTTTAGAGTCAATACATTTCTAAATGGGATTATTCAGGATTAACCACACACTCCCTCAGACATCCTAATCTCTTGGTTTTATCTGTCATTTACCATTTAATCTCACTATTGCTGGATAATCTTTATAACCTGTCAGTAAATTTTGAGTGAAAATAAAAACAGATAATTATTATCCTTATCTATTAATCTTTCTTTGCTTTTTTTTTACAGGTGTCCGAGCCAAAAGTCCATGGCTTCCTCTTCTTCTAACAATTCCTTGGCAGGTTGTCAGACTGCCACGACTGCAGTGGCAATGTAAAGCTTTATTACAAATAGTTTTTTACATTTTTATTTATTTTATTGCTTCAGTTTTGGTCTGTTTGCCGTATTAAAGACATTTAAGCGAGGCCTACAGCCGCGTCACAAACATACATCATCACCTCTGCTGCCTCTAAAGAAGGCATAACCATAGAAAACAGGAAGCTAACAGACCAGACAAACCTCAGAGACTTTGTGAAACTTCCCCCCCTGAGTGTTTTTGGATTAAACCGTTCCTCTTTTTTTTTTGCATGTTTGAATCAAAGATGCTTTGGATCATAGTTTTGAAAGAAAGGCTATTGCACTGAGCTAAATGTGGTAAGTGTCTAACAGAGAAATAGGTTCCAATAGAGACCAGTTTAAATCTCAATAAATCATAAGATATCTGTATATATTCAATCTATTGTTTTTTGTTTTTTTTTCAGGGTAGATTTGATCCATTTTTATGTAAAAGAAAGACTTAAACATTTAGAAAAGTTTTGTCTGTGTTAGCTTTTGGAAATGAGATTAGTAAAAAAAAAAAAGTTTGCTTATTGGTCAGATGTGGTACCGAAACCTGAATGATGACCTTTATCCGTGTTCAGTCCTCTGTCTTTCTGTGTCTAATTCAACTCAGATGTCTTGAAAAACTGTCATTAAAACAAAGAATGTGATGCTTGTTGGACCTCAGTAATTATTTATTTTAAAATAAGAAATGAAATCCCGAGATCATGTAACAACAGTGTTGCGATTGTGTCAGTGGTGAGAAAAAACGATAATATTTCATTGTTAACGAAAACCAGAATTTCTGTTAACAGAAGTCGCTTATTTTTACAGATCTGGTTGAAGATATTGCCTGGATCAAATAGTATAAGATCAGACAAATAATCGTAATTTTATGTTTCGTGGCCAAGAAATGACCATTTATTTACCTTATTTAGACTGATCAGAGAAGGAAGGAAGGAAGGAAGGAAGGAAGGA